CCCCAAAACCCCAAAACCCCAAAACCCCGTGATGACAAGTTGATAAAATTAAGACGGTGAAAATTAATCAAAATTCAAATTTAAATTACACAAATATGCAGCAAAACAGCAACAATAATAATGATGTTGAGATGTCTGACTAGAATGCTAATCAAATAGTCAATAACAATTCTGAGTAACTTAGGCCCTAAAATACTAACCCTAATACAACTGTTGCACTTTCTCAACTCCCTATTAAATAGTAAAAAATAACAAGACGACTTATGATCCACAAAGTAGTTCTAGAGAACTTTAAGTCATATTATGGCCGAAAAGAAATAGGCCCACTTCACAAATGCTTTACTGCTGTAGTTGGTCCAAATGGATCTGGCAAGTCAAATCTCATCGAATCATTGCTATTTGTTTTTGGAAAGCGTGCTAAGAGAATGAGACTAAATAAACTTTCAGAGCTAATTCATAATTCCGCCTAACATAAAGATGTCACACATGCTACAGTAAGAGTTTACTTTTAAGACATCCTTGATGATGAAGATGAGCCAGATGCTTATGATGTCGTGCCAGGCTCTGAATTTGAAGTCTCTCGCTCAGTAAACAGACAATCTTAATCTAAATACATGATTAATTAATAAGAATCTAGCTTCAAGGAAGTTTGCGAGCTTCTGAGCAAAAATGGCATTGATCTCGATCACAATAGATTTTTGATTTTGTAAGGAGAGGTCGAACAAATTTCATTAATGAAGGCTAAAGCATAGAATGAAAATGAAACTGGATTACTTGAGTACCTTGAGGATATTATTGGATCTAATAAATATGTTCAAAGAATAGCAGAACTCGAGAAGGAGGTAGAACAAAGAGATGATGAGAGGAGAGAAAAACTGACTAGAGTTAATGCCTGCTAACTAGAGCTCTAAGCCTTGGAATAAGATAAGAACAATGCTATTGATTATCTTAAAAAAGAGAGGAATCTTATGCTTCTTAAAAATATGCAACAGTTTGTTGAGTTAGGAGAGGGAGTAGCGCAATTAAATGAGAAGTTGCAGAATATTGTTTAGTATAAATAGTAAGCAAGAGATGTTAGAGATCAGAAGAAAAAAATGATGGAGGAAAATCAAGGTTTAGTTTAGGAAATCTAAATACTGATGGCAAATGAAGATAGAGCTTAATAAAGATAAGATCAGCTAACAAATGATTTTAGAGGTCTAGAAAGAGCAGATATCTTAATAAGGAATGAAATGAAGCATAATTTGCAAAAGATCAACAGAGCAAAGGAATCAATTGATGAAATTGAGAAAAAGAAGCAAAAGCTCATCTAAGAAAATGCACACAATGAAAAAATCCTTCCAGAAAAAGAAGAGGAGCTGAAAGAGTTAGTAGAAAGGAAAATAGAGATGGAATAGGACTTTGAAAAGATGGAGGAGAAAGTTAGGGAAATGACTGAAAAGCTTAGAAAGGAAAAAGATTCCCTTGAGTCAGAACTCAATCCAATGATAAATTAATTCAACTCAATTAAAAATAGAATTGAAATTAAAAAGCAAGAGAGAGCAGCAATTGAGGGAAAATCTTAAAAAGTTAGACTAGAAATCGAAAACACTAAGAATCTAATAAATTTAAATTAAAATAAGATAAACTTCACCTTAGAGGAAATTGAAAAGACTGGAAAGTAAATTGAAGATACTTCCAATGAACAAAAGGAGCTTGAGAATAGACTATAATAAAATGTATCAGAGTTACAGCTGCATGAAAAGGAACTTTAAAAGTAAAAGGACTCTCTTATAACAATGCGGTCTGCTTAGCAAGAGAGCAAGAATAAAAACAGAATACTTAAAGAACTAATGGAAGCTCAATAAAGAGGTGTGTTGACTGGAATATTTGGTAGGTTAGGTGATTTGGGAACAATAGATTAATAATATGACTGTGCTGTGACAACTGCTTGCGGATTCTTAGATAATATTGTGGTTGAGACTGTTGGCGATGGTGAAAAATGCATTAAGTTCTTAAGGGACAATCATATCGGATAAGGAAAGTTTATTCTTCTAGATAAGATTAAAGCATAATTCGATTAAATGAAAGATAGATCTTTTGAAAGCCCATAAGGGTCAAACAGAATATTTGATTTAATTAAGATTCCAGATGATAAATTCAGAGTGGCATTTTACTTCGCTTTAAGAGATACTCTGGTTTGTGATTCAATTGACTTAGCTACTAGAATCGCCTATGGTTAACAAAGATTTAGAGTGGTGACTTTGAAAGGAGAGTTGATTGAAATGTCTGGTACTATGAGTGGTGGAGGTAAACCCAAGACTGGAGGAATGAGTTCAGTCTAAATTCAAGAGTACTCTGAAGATCAAATTAAAGAGGTCGAGTAAAGAGTAGAAAAGCTTACTTCATAAATAATGAAACTAAAAGAAGAAAGACCAAATATAGAAACAATAAAAACACAAAATGTAAAGAAGATGTAAATGCTATCGATGACTCTCAATAAACTTAAGATTGAACTCAACTCATAAAAAGAATCTCAAAGTTCACTTGAAAATAAGTTGAATTCACTTAAAAAAGATCTCATTAAGGCCGATGAAGATGAGATCAGAGTAGAAAACATCCAAAAAGAAATCAGTGAAGATTCACAGGTCTTATCAGATATAAATCCATTGATTGAAGAATGTAAGATGAAGATAAAGCAGGTTGAAGCAATGATCATTGAATCTGGAGGTGTTGACTACAAAAAGAAAAAAGATGATGTCGAGAGGATGTACACAAAAGTTCACGATGTTGAGAAGTAGATCACTAGAATGAAAACAACATTGGCTAATACTGAAACAAATCTTTTAAAATTCGATAAGGAAATTGAAAAGGAGAAATAAGAGATTCAAAAATTGGAAAATATAATAGCTGAGCATAACAGAGATATCGATAAGAATACAAAAATGGGAGAGCAAATATTGGCTGAGTTAGGGGCTTTGGATGAGGAAAAAAAGTAAAACAAAGAGAAGTTAGACAGCAGAAGAACCAATTTTACAAACCTTAAAAAGGAATTACAAAGAATGGAAGAAGCTGAAAATCAGGCTAAGTAAACTGTAGAAAATGCAATAAAAGCAAGAAATTAGCTAGATGAACATTGTAAAAAGATCAAAGCAAAGATTAGAGAGAATAGAGATAAATTCAAAGGTTAAGAATAAGAATTTAGCTACATATTTTCAGATGGACTTAGCCTAGTAAGTACTTAAACTGTTGTACCAGTAGTCTAGTAGTAACAATTAGCCTTACCTGATAGGAGATAATCAACTATGAACCAAAGTAGAGAATCATCTCATGTAGAGGCTTCTAGATTAGAAGATTCATAAGTAATTGAGCAATCAAATATCAAGAGACAAAAAACTGAGGCATAGAGCTTTGAACATCACTTGGCTAATACTCCAATTACCTATAATTTCAATGAAGAGGAGATTCATGTCTTGACAAATTAGAAAAATGAAATAAAGCAACGTATTGAATTTCTGGAAGGAGAGATTTAAAGTTAAAATCCAAATATCAATATTATTCAACAATATAGAGTCAGATTCTAAGATTATTAAGAGAAGTAAAGCAGATTAAAAGAAGTAGAAGATGCCCTAGGAAAGATGAAAGAAGAGCATAATCATTTAAAAAGAAAAAGACATGATGATTTTATGTCTGGATTTTAAGTTATATCAACAAAACTTAAGGAAATGTATAGATTAATCACCAATGGAGGTGATGCTGAGCTTGAGGCGCTTGACGCTCTAGATCCATTTTCTGAGGGAATATAGTTCCATGTAAGACCATTAAAGAAGTCTTGGAAGTAAATGTCCAAACTCTCTGGAGGTGAAAAAACTATTTCTTCACTTTCCCTTATATTTGCTCTCCATCATTACAAACCATCTCCATTATATTGCATGGACGAAATCGATGCTGCTCTAGATTATAAGAATGTAGCTATTGTTGGAGATTACATTAAAAAGAGAGCAAGAAACAGTCAGTTTTTAATTATCTCTTTGAGGAACAATATGTTTGAACTTGCGGAGAAATTAGTCGGTATATACAAAACCTTTGATATTACCAAGACTGTTACTATAAATCCAAATTAATTGAAACAACAAATTGTGAAATATCAGCAATCTCACTAGATAAGAGAAAGTAGCAAGCAAGAAAATGACGGGAAAAGATAATCATCAGAAGAATAGAGACGCCATCAATCTAATAATTTAATCTAATCTGCAAATCCTTCAGCTTCTTAGGTCAGATGAAGTATTGAGTTTATATTTTATGAGAAATAAGTTTAGATTTTAATTTCTTGAATTTTACTTGAACTTACTCTTTGGGGTTTTGGGGTTTTGGGG